TAACTACTCACCGTGGGCGTGGTGGCTGGGGTTACTACTCACCGTGGGCGTGGTGGCCAGGGTCACTACTCACCGTGGGCGTGGTTGATGGGGTTACTACTCACCGTGGGCGTGGTGGCTGGGGTTACTACTCACCGTGGGCGTAGTGGCTGGGGTTACTACTCACCGTGGGCGTGGTGGCTGGGGTTACTACTCACCGTGGGCGTAGTGGCTGGGGTTACTACTCACCGTGGGCGTGGTGGCTGGGGTTACTACTCACCGTGGGCGTGGTGGCCGGGGTTACTACTCACCGTGGGCGTGGTGGCTGGGGTTACTACTCACCGTGGGCGTGGTGGCTGGGGTTACTACTCACCGTGGGCGTGGTGGCTGGGGTTACTACTCACCGTGGGCGTGGTGGCCGGGGTTACTAGTCACCGTGGGCGAGGTGACTGGGGTTACTACTCACCGTGGGCGTGGTGACTGGGGTCACTACTCACCGTGGGCGTGGTGACTGGGGTCACTACTCACCGTGGGCTTGGTGGCCGGGGTCACTAGTCACCGTGGGCGTGGTGGCCAGGGTTACTACTCACCGTGGGCGTGGTAGCCGGGTTACTACTCACCGTGGGCGTAGTGGCCAGGGTTACTACTCACCGTGGGCGTGGTAGCCGGGGTCACTAGTCACCGTGGGCGTGGTGGCCAGGGTTACTACTCACCGTGGGCGTGGTAGCCGGGGTTACTACTCACCGTGGGCGTAGTGGCCAGGGTCACTAGTCACCGTGGGCGTGGTGGCCGGGGTCACTAGTCACCGTGGGCGTGGTGGCCGGGGTTACTACTCACCGTGGGCGTGGTGGCTGGGGTTACTACTCACCGTGGGCGTAGTGGCCAGGGTCACTACTCACCGTGGGCGTGGTTGCCGGGGTTACTACTCACCGTGGGCGTGGTGGCCGGGGTTACTACTCACCGTGGGCGTGGTGGCTGGGGTTACTACTCACCGTGGGCGTGGTGGCCGGGGTTACTACTCACCGTGGGCGTGGTGGCCGGGGTTACTACTCACCGTGGGCGTGGTGGCTGGGGTTACTACTCACCGTGGGCGTGGTGGCTGGGGTTACTACTCACCATGGGCGTGGTGGCCGGGGTTACTACTCACCGTGGGCGTGGTGGCCGGGGTTACTACTCACCGTGGGCGTGGTAAAGACAGGTGTGGGCGTGGTAAAGCCAGGTGTGGGCGCTACCGCCGGAGGTACCCCTCGACGGGCTTGAAGACAGTGTACTTGAAGAGCCGCGCGCCGCCATAACCGTAGAGCAGCTCCCCGTTGCCCTGGTGGTCGTAGAACGGGTAGCGGTACCGCGGCCTGTGGACGACCAGCTGGTTAGTGTGGACGACCAGGTGGTTAGTGTGGACGACCAGGTGGTTAGTGTGGACGACCAGGTGGTTAGTGTGGACGACCAGGTGGTTAGTGTGGACGACCTGATTGTTAGTGTGGACGACCAGCTGGTTAGTGTGGACGACCAGGTGGTTAGTGTGGACGACCAGCTGGTTAGTGTGGACGATCAGGTGGTTAGTGTGGACGACCAGGTGGTTAGTGTGGACGACCAGGTGGTTAGTGTGGATGACCAGGTGGTTAGTGTGGACGACCTGATTGTTAGTGTGGACGACCAGCTGGTTAGTGTGGACGACCAGGTGGTTAGTGTGGACGACCAGGTGGTTAGTGTGGACGACCAGGTGGTTAGTGTGGACGACCAGGTGGTTAGTATGGACGGCCTGGTGGCATGAACGTGGGTCAGACCTTAGCATACAGTGTTCTGGTGTGAGGTACTCGTGGATGTGGTACTGGAGGTATGGCAGGGTTTACAGGGTCAACTAGAGATTGTACTGAAGAGATGCCTGGCTCGAGGCATTTTAGGGCACAGAGCAACATCTTAGCTAGGAGGGCAAGATGGCGACAGCGACACGTGATCAGATGAAGAGATGGATGACGTCACCATTAGCCAATAGGAGGGAGGTACGGCCGTGACGTGTAATGTCGGGACATTCGAGGATTGGCTTGTGTGTGGGAGGTCAAACAGGAGACGCTCAGTTTGCCGCCCTTCAGTTTAAGGTGAAAATTCTACTGGTCTCGGCTAGGTAGAGACCAGCGACTAGTGGAGGCAAGTAGAGCAGTAGAAGAGAGGAGGCAGCTGACACGGACCTGTGACAGTATACCCTGGAGCAGCGTCTTGGAGCCATGACAGCTGACGTGCCTGGGAGCTTGTGCGACCTGCGGCAGGTTATGTCCAGCGAGTGGACGAGGTGCTTGGTGTACCAAGAAGTTTGGGCGCCTGTTCTAACCACGACACACAAGTCAGAGAAGAGGACGACAGAGGCGGCCAAGGGGCTTGAAGACAGCTCAGAGAGGATAAGAAACCCCGTTATAGTTCTGATAGCAGATTTTTGCTGGGGTGATGATAGGCTTGAGGTAATTTGCAGTGGTTGAACCCTATGCACAGGTAGGGATAGATTACCGGGTAATATAATGAGAGGAGAGTAGAGTGGGGCGACATAATATCTGATTGTTGAGAGTATATAACGGTTTCAGAGACTTTTTTGGCTGTGTTGTATATGGGGGTGATGAATAGTCTCTTGTCTACGTATGGCATACAGATGACACAAAAATCAGTATGAAAATTATCTCGGCTGAAGACATTGAAAAACTTCAAGCTGATATTAATAAAGTTTTCGACTAGGCATCAGAAAATAACATGATGTTTAACAGTGATAAATTCCAGGTACTCAGGTACGGTAAAAATGAGGACCTTAAACATAATACAGAGTACAAAACACAATCAAATGTACCCATAGTAGGAAAACAGCATGTAAAGGATTTGGGAATAATAATGTCCGACGACCTAACGTTTAAGGAGCATAACCAAGCAAATATTGCGACAGCCAGAAAAATGATAGGATGGATTACGAGAACTTTCAAATCCAGGGATCCCATCACAATGGTTGTACTCTTTAAGTCACTTGTGTTGTCCCGTCTGGAGTACTGCTCAGTACTCACTTCCCCCTTCACAGCAGGAGAGATTGCTGAAATAGAGGGAATACAGAGAACATATACGGCACGCATAGACGCGATAAAGCACCTAAATTATTGGGATCGTCTCAAAGCTCTCCAAATGTACTCACTAGAAAGAAGACGAGAGAGATATCAAATAATATACACCTGGAAGATACTGGAGGGCCAAGTACCAATCTACACAGTAAAATAACAACGTACTGGAGTGAACGATATGGAAGAAAATGCAGAATAGAACCAGTGAAGAGCAGAGGTGCCATAGGCACAATCAGAGAACACTGTATAAACATCAGAGATCCGCGGCTGTTCAACACCCTCCCAGCATGCATAAGAAATATTGCCGGAACAACCGTAGACATCTTCAAGAGGAAACTAGATTTATTCCTCCAAGGAGTGCCGGACCAACCGGGCTGTGGTGGGTATGTGGGCCTGCGGGCCGCTCCAAGCAACAGCCTGTTGGACCAAACTCTCACAAGTCAAGCCTGGCCTCAGGCCGGGCTTGGGGAGTAGAAGAACTCCCAGAACCCCATCAACCAGGTATCAACCAGGTATCAACCAGGTATCAACCAGGTATCAACCAGGCACGTATGTCCAGTTCTCTCTTGAACACTGTGAGGGGTCGGCCAGTTATGCCCCTTATGTGTAGTGGAAGCGTGTTGAACAGTCTCGGGCCTCTGATGTTGATAGTTCTCTCTTGAACACTGTGAGGGGTCGGTCAGTTATGCCCTTTATGTGTAGTGGAAGCGTGTTGAACAGTCTCGGGCCTCTGATGTTGATAGAGTTCTTTCTCAGAGTACCTGTTGCACCTCTGCTTTTCAACGGGGGTATTCTGCACATCCTGCCATGCCTCCTGGTCTCATGTGATGTTATTTCTGTGTGCAGGTTAGGGGGACCAGCCCCTCTATTATTTTCCATGTGTAAATTATTATGTA